TGAAGATGAAGATGAAGATGAAGATGAAGATGAAGATGAAGATGAAGGCGAAGATGAAGCTGAACATCTTCATCTTCATCACCTTAATCACCTTTGTCTTCATCTTAATCCTTGTCTTTTTATTTATCTTTAACTTTGTCCAGTTCTTCATATTTATCATTGGCTTGATCCTTCAATAGGTTGTGATTGTCTGTGGTGTTGTCGTTACCCTTGTCTTTGTTTCCGCCCTTGTATCTTGCTCTCTGTATTTTCATTACCCAATCCACAGTGGCGTTAAAAGTTTAATGTAGCCGCCCCTGTCTGTTCACGCATGCGCATACGCATACGCAAAAATTAAGTTTTATTTTCTGAGCAAAACGTAACGATTATTTTCCGAGCAAAAAATAAAACTTAAAACCTAACCATTATTTTCCGAGCAAAAAATAAAACTCCAAACGTAACGATTATTTTCCGATCAAAAAATAAAACTTAAAACGTAACCATTATTTTCCGAGCAAAAAATAAAACTTAAAACGTAACGATTATTTTCCGAGCAAAAAATAAAACTCAAAACATAACGATTATTTTCTGAGTAAAAAATAAAACTAAAAAAATGTTCGTTATGTTTTGAGCAAAAAATAAAACTCAATTAATAACGATTAAAAAGTGATTTTTATAATAAAAGTTATAACTGTTACGGTCCCTGGTATTGACTCTTTGTATTGATTCTTTCTAACGTTATTACAATATTTTATTTATTTATTTTTTTACTTTTATTTTTCAATGTTCACCCCACAAAATGTGTACTACTACTCACTGAAATTGGCATTTAAAACTATTTTACTTTGTAATATAAATAATGCCATTAACTTTTCTAATGCAGCATTGATGTACTTATTGAACGCAACATGAAATTAGAATACTGTGTTAATCTGTATGCATTAAGAAAATGATAAATAAAAGAAAGGAATTAAAATTCTCTTAAACGTTTTCTATCCCTGGCAAGTTTACTAAGCTCTCATCCTCTGACGAATCGTCGAACCAGAACTCCGTTGTACACATTTTTAACAAGTGTTTATTTTAATTTGCACAAATTTACATAAATTAATTTGTAATAAATTACAAAGCTTCTTAGTGGTGAAAAATATACTAATGTGAACAACCTAAACGAGCTATATTCACAATAGCGCTATTTTTCACCGAATGAGCATCATAATACCAAATGAAAATTCGTCCGATCAGCACCTTCGACCACGGTCGAAGATCGAATGCTACTCATAATAGGGGCCATTGTGTAAACAAATTTTAATAACGCCAAATAAGTACGTAAACTCAATATTTGTTCGATAAAACTTTTGAGTTGATCGCATATCTGTGAAATAACACAAGCGGCAATAACGCAAAATTTGCTTTATGGCACTTTTAAATGGGAAATAATACCAAAATCTGAGTTTTGCTTAATTTTCAACAAAGTTTGGAAATAAAACAAATTTTGCCTTATTTCCCATTGCTTATTTATACTATTTGTAACAAAGACAGTTTACTGAACACAAGGAAAAAGACTGTTTATTCCAAAAATACAATTAAACAAAAAATGTGATATAGTTCATATGAAGAAAGTAATATTCACAAAATATTTTTACTTATGAAAAGTCTAACAAAATATAAGGAAAAGAGTCATCTTTAATAACTGCTCAGCAAATTGGACATAGCGCTTTTGCATGAATTTTATCTGCATGCTTTTTTAAATGTGTTGAAAACATTGCTGTAAAACCTTAAAATGTTTGCATGGAACTATGGCGCAATAAACAGGTGAAGTTATAAAAAAGCTTTCTCGCTTTATTTTCTGTCATTCGGCTGTCTTGTAGTCAAATTTTAAAAGCAATTTTTCAATAAGGCAGTGTCGAAATCTTTCTTCTCACTCTAATATTACTTCACCTGGTATAATTCCGCCATGGCATGGAACAAACAAAAGTTGCCGTTCCTGTTCGCAGCATATAACACAGAGAATATTGTTTTGAGTTTTATCTTCAGTTAAAATTTCCGCATTATCACCACTTGTTTCCTCATATCCGAAATGTGGATTTCGTTTGCGAAGACGAAGCGAACATGCGGTACGAAATAGTGATGTAAAAATATGTAAAATTTTACCTACTCTCAGACTTCTAAATTTGAACGTAACTCGGTACAAGGAGGTGGGATGAATTGCGCAATAAACAGGTGAATTAATAAAACAGCTTTTTCGCTTTATTTTCTGACATTCGGCTGTCTTATAGTCACATTTTATAGGCATGTTTTCAAATAAGGCAGTGTCAAAATATTTCTTCTCATTCTAATATTACTTCACCTGGTATAATTCCACCATGGGTGGGGTGCATGCAATATCTAATACCATTCCCATTACTTGGACATTAAATAGCAGTTTCAGAAGTGAACTAGTGTCATTTTGTTATTATTATTTTTTCTAAACGGTCATAATGCCAGCAGTGCATAATTGTGAAAGAGGGGAGGGGGGCGGGGACACGAGCGCGACATCGAACGCGGCGTGGCGCGGGGCGGCTAGCGAACGCGGACCGCCGCGACGCTAGGCACTTTCAAAAGTGTATACTTACAAATCCGTCCATTTAACTTGTCCATGTACTACTTTTTGTAACTGTGTGACTACCTACAGATGTGCACTATATTGCTTTATTACTCAAATTGTTAAGTTTTAAAAGTTTTTCAGCTATTTCCGGGAGGGTAGTTGAGCCTTTTGAGCTTTGAATGACCGAAACTGAATTAAATAAACATAGATCGTAACAAGCAGACTAGTTTCTAATAAGTATCAAAAATTGTTGAAATTGAAAAGAGAGTGAGCAATCGTATTTATATTTATACTTTTTCAAAACATCAATTTTTCAGGTACTCGGCATTCTCCTAATTTGAAGAGAAAAGGTACAATATCGCCTGCGTTAGAGAAGAGAAATGCGTACAGTCCCTTGCATAAAAGGAAAAGGCCATCAACAACCTCTAAGAAAACTGACAAGTCGAAATCTAGACACCGAGTTACTTCGAGTTCTTCGGAATCAGGTAATGCTTTTTTTCTTTTTCTTGACGCTAATAAAAAAGTTGTATATTCTCCGGCGTTCTTCGAAGCCTTTTGAATTAAAAGTTGGAATAATACATAATATGTGTATATTTCAAATCTATACGTATATTTTTACAATTGTATTTGTGCTCTTTTAGGTTCCTCTGACTCAAGTGATTCGGATTCAGACACTGGCTCATCCAGTTCAGATAGTTCGTCCCTGTCTAGGGAAAGGCCTAATATTAAACGCTCTAGAACAACGGACAAGGTAGTGCATGAAAGAAGAGGTGTCAAGAAAGGTGAGTGCGAAATTTAAATAAGAACAAAAATTAATTGTTAAATTATTTTCATTACTTTAACTGTGTTCTTGTCCAGTGGTGGGGTTTTTCTACCATTGTTATTAAAAACTTGGAAATTTTGGGCCTCGTAAGTTATAAAAAAAGCCTTTTGAGACTTTACAACCAATTGATTGGCTGTAACTGAAAAAACTTAATGAGTGGGTGCATTCCAAAACGTCAAAATACAAAGCATCACCCTGTTTTATTTATAAACCTCAGTCGATTGTAATGTCAAATGTGCGCTGGATGCTTTTCAACTAGGTTGCGCAAGTTAGACCTCTTCTTCTAATGTGGTTTAGAAAAGCAGATACTGATGCTTTGTATTTTGACGTTTTGGAATGCACCCAGTCTCTCACTAAGAAATCAGTGCTCCAAAGCCGAATTTACCATTATTTACACAAATCACATTTCAAACCCATTAATCCCCCACAATCGAACCAACCCGGACTTTGCTAATATTTTCTGAAAATATACATATCCAGTAATAAAACTCTCGAAGGATTTGCAAAAGTTAGCTCGTGCTTTTATTTTATGGCCTACCAAGTTTTCATGTTCCGGCCTAAGTAGTTTTCAAAAAAGTGGGAAAAATGGTTAAAATAAATGTCTGAGCGAAATTAAAGGTTAAGACATATATAGTAAAATTTCATGGGAAATATTTTCGTAGAATATCTTAACCCATTAGCTCCCGCCTGAAAGGGTCGTTTTGACCCTTACTTTAAGAAACCCCGCAAAAAGCAAATTTGGAAGTTCGTAAGCGGATTGATATAAATTTCTATAGACACAAATCGCCTTATGTCTAGTTTACAATAACTTAACTTAATGCTTGGTGCAGGTATACTATGTATATACAGGCTTACTTCCAAAACGTAACAATACAATGTTTGGATATTGTTGTTGTTGTTGTTGTAGCGGCTACAACAACCCCGCCCAGATCGGCTTATATCTCAGTCGTTGTCGTCGAGTTCCACTAACGGCAGCCCCAAGAAGCGTGCAGCCTCTATGGGGTCGGTCCACAGGGACGACACCGTTAGGGTTGTGGGGTTTACCGGGCATGCGAAGAGATGTTTCGAGTCGTGAGGGGTCCCTCCGCATGCCGGACATACGTTCGGCACATCCGCATTTAGCCTACTCAGGTAGGAGTTTAGCCTGCTGCAGTAGTCAGAGCGAAGTTGGGCTATTGTGTTCGCGTCAATGTCCGGTGTTTGTGTGCCTAGAACGGCATTCACAGGTCTTGAGTCTACATAACTCGAGATTGCGTCCCTGTGAATGCCGTTCAGGGCCTGTCTGTAAGCTGACGGGTCCAGAGGCTGCTTAATGAACCTCTGGACTTCGTCCGTCAGTTCATATAGATGCCTCCTGACGTGCCTCGGCGAGGGCTGCTCTGCAAGCAGCTGTCTATTTGGGTGGCCACATCTGTGGCTCCCAACCAGAAACTGCTTGCAGAGCATCGTGTTGTGCTCCCTAATTGGGATCATTTTCGCCTCATCGTGGAGGTGGTGTTCTGGTGACATCAGGAGGCATCCGGTCGTTGTCCTAAGTGCTGTGTTTTGTAGCTTCATCCACTGCGTCCTACTGGTCCCCGGTGACCACACTAGTGCTGCGTAGTTTAAAATCGGCCGGCCTATTGCTTTGTATGTTGCCAGCAACGTTTCTTTGTCTTTGCCCCAAGAGTACTGCCGGCTAGCGACTTGAGGACCTTGTTGCGGCTCTGTACTTTATTGACAATAGCGGTTGCGTGCGGAATTGGTGTGTCATCGACGTGAATTCCTTGCGGTAGCCTGACCTCCTTCGTCCAGGTTGTGAACAGGGTCGCAGAGGATTTCGTAGGGGAGAGGGCTAGACACTTTGCAGTGAAGAAGCGAGAAAGTTCAGAAAGATACCCGTCTACTTTCGAACACAGGTCATCAATTACATTCCCAGTTGCCATGATCGAGCAATCGTCGGCGTAAGAGACAATCGAGACTCCCTCTGGAGGTTGAGGGAGCTTTGAAATGTAAAAGTTAAACAGTAGCGGGGAAAGGACACCACCCTGTGGAACCCCCTGTTTTATTTTTCTAAGTTTGCTCGATTTGTCTCTAAACATTACCGACGAGTGTCGACCACTCAGATAATTTGCCGACCACCGTTTGAGCCTCTGTGGGAGAGCGGAAGCCTCTATATCTTCTAGTAGCGTGGAATGGCTGACAGTGTCAAAAGCCTTTCGACAGGTTCAACGCTACTAGAATCGTTCTTTCACAGGGACGTTTACGGTTAAGGCCACGAGTTATCTGAGTGTTTATGACGTTAAGTGCTCTTGTTGTACTGTGCACTTTACGGAAACCATGCTGATGCTTCGCTGGGGTCAGGTGGTTTGTGAAATACGGGAGCAGCAAGGCCTCGAGTGTCTTCGCTACCGGGGAAAGGAGTGTTATCGGCCGATAAGAATCTCCTATGTTGGCAGGTTTCCCCGGTTTGAGCAGTGGGACCACTCTCCCCACCTTCCAGATGTCTGGGATGATGAGAGTGGCCATAGACAAATTGAGGACCTCCGTTAGGTACGCTAATCCCGCAGGACCCAAATTTTTCAGCATCAGCATGCATATTCCGTCGGGACCCATGGCTTTGGAGGCTTTCGCCTTCCCGATGGCCACCTGAACTTCACCGCAAGTGAAAGCAAGGGGGGGGCACAGTTGGTTGGTGTGGGGAGAGCAGCGAAGGTGTTTTCAGTAAATTCCACGAAGCCTTTCCAATCAGCTTTAGAAAAGTTGATATATGTTCGGTGCTCCGCGGAAGCAAAGTCGGTTGGTTTATCGATCGAGATGACTATGGGCAGATGGTCTGATGCCAAAGTCAGCATAGGTCGCCATGATATGCTGTTTATCAGACCAGCGCTGACTATTGTTATGTCTGGCGAGCTGCAGCAGCTGCCCATAATCCTGGTGGGTGCGTCGTCGAAGCAAAGTCGGTTGGTTTATCGATCGAGATGACTATGGGCAGATGGTCTGATGCCAAAGTCAGCATAGGTCGCCATGATATGCTGTTAATCAGACCAGCGCTGACTATTGTTATGTCTGGCGAGCTGCAGGAGCTGCCCATAATCCTGGTGGGTGCGTCGTCGTTCATTGTGCAGAATGTCGAATCGTCTTATCTGCTCAGCCAAGTCAGTTCCCCTACGATCGTTTGACAGGCTTGAGTGCCAAAGATCGTGGTGCGGATTAAAGTCGCCTACTAACATACGGTTTTCACCTCTGAGGAGCGCACCTATGTCAGGGTGATATCCTGCCGGGCAGCAGGTGACAGGGGGTATATAAACGTTAAATATTTCGAGCTCAACATGCCCTGACATTCTAGGGTGGTATCCCTGCTGTCGATGTCTGCTTCGATAAGACGATACTGCACGGTGTGGTGCGTGATGAACGCTAAGCCACCATCATTATCCCGCTCGCCATCTCGACGGTGCACGTTGTACCCGGCACAATTCAACAGTTTTGAATTGCTGTGCAGCTTCGTCTCTTGGACCGCAGCTATCAATATGTCATGCCTTTCAATGAAGACGGTTATCTCCTCGATCTTGCTCTGAAGCCCGTTACAGTTAAATTGAAGGAGCTTCAAGTGGTTCGGGAGACGTGTGGTGATGCGGGGTGTGAGGGATGTGTGTGGTCGTGCCGCAGTTGGCTGTGTGCGCTGCTGAGGTGGTTGCCGCCCTGTGGTGGTGGCGGGAGGCGTCGCAGTTGAGGTCTGCGACCGAGCAGCGCAACACGGGCCCTCGAAGTTCCTCGTCCAATCTCGCGTGGTGCGCAGACCTGAGCATGCCCTAAAGTGGCACCAGCCAAGGCAGGTGTTGCACTTGACTGATGTCACATTACGGAATATCCTGGTCTAACATACCGTGCAGATTGTAGGAGGAACCAGGAGTTGTTGGCGGCGGCGTGTGGGTGGTGGTGCGGTGGTTTGTGTTCTGTGGTCTGTAGCCGTTGTGGTTTTGTCTATTGTGTTATGTTGTTGTGTTGTGGTGTTTGTGTGGGACTGCTCAGGTGGACTGGGGTTAGCCGTGGAGGCTGCTCTGTTAGAGCAGCAGGGTCCACAAAAGACGTGGTCCACTGCCGATGTGTCCGTAGTCCTGAGCAGACTCTGAGGTGACTCCACCCCTCGCAAGCATTGCACTTGACAGAGGTGGAGTTGTGGTGTAGTCGTCTCTGGCATACACAGCATGTGTAGGTTTCTGGCCCTGGGTTTGACTCGATGCCAGCCCTGAGTAGAAGAAAACGTAGCGAATGTAGCCCTATGGACGAACAACTTCTGAGATACTTCGCCGACCTAAACGGGGTTAGATCGCCGAAACAACAGCCCTTGGTCGGGTAAAACTCGAGTCATTCCGGTACGTAGAACCGGCTGTCGTGGGAATGATGTTTGGATACTCTTCTACTGCGGTATTTAAACAGTTTGTATAGGCAGAGTTGCGAAACATTGCAATCACATACTCTACATATTTTGAATATTCAATATAACAATGAATAACCTTTCGTAATTTTCCATTTTCACAACACAAGTCGCAACCAAAAACAAAAGAAAGGATCAAATTTGTTTTCGGGTGCGTTTTGGAAAAGTATACATTGTCAACCATTTGTAGTTCGGCGTTATGGAACATTATACTTTGTAGGTATGCAATGTAATTGAAGTTTTGGAAGTCAGCCACTCTTTTACAAAACAAATTACATGTACACTGCCGGAGAAAAGTATTGGCACGGCAAATTTTTCTCAATATCCCACCACAATATCACCAATCTCTATTCTAGTATTTTTCGAAAAAAAATTTTTTTTTTAATATGGTTCTTTCTACAACAAAAGAACATATAAATACAAGTTCTAAACTATGTATTTGTCAATGTTATTGTGGCTTGTTAACATTTTATTTTTAATATTTTTATTGAGCTTGTACCACGATTGTTTATTAGGAAAAATTGGAAAAGCAACAAAGTCTA